ATCATTCCGTCATTCACATCATCAATTCGATTGAGTCATAAAAGCATGAGTGAGGAAATTCGGGTAGTTTTGATCCAGAAAGCGAAATAATTTGAATATCATACATTGAGCAGGTGAAGATCCAGCTTTTAAATCAAGGGGGAGTCATGTAGTATGAATTCAGTCTTTGTTGTCTACGAAATTAGAAAAATTATATTTAGTCGATATAAAGCCCCTGGATCCGATCTTAAATGGTTCCTGATATTTCGGCTGCTTAAACCATTTTTCTGTTTAATCTCGCCAATTTTGCAGGCTCTCCTATTGGAAACCACCGCCATTCGGCAATCTATTTATAATTTGGGGAATATTGCAAATTGGACAGTGTACCGCACAACTTTGTCCATAGTGTACAGTGTTTTATGGAGTCTTCTTCCTTGTATTTTGTTCTTGCTTTCCCGAATAAAGTTTGTGTTTTTCTTAGTTAAATTAACCTTAAACCCTGATGGAATAATTCTGAGGTCGCTTTCGACTAGAATTTCAGGCAGCGCCTTCCGATGTCGACATCGTTCTTAATGTGTCTGTTAAGGCCCGTCCTGCCTGTTACGGAGTTTATTGCAATGCACTGAGCCATTTGCTTCCAATATCAAATAGACTAACAGCCCAAAAATTCCTTAACGAACACGAATATTTCATGGGAAAAAATTCTCATTTGCTCCTCAATTTGCGTAATTTTCCGATAAATTAGACCAACAAACCCTTCTTGATGAACTTTCCTAATATATATTGTCCTTATTATCGAATGCCATGATTACACGAACGTAATAAAGAAGAAGAGGTGTGTAATCAGAAAATGGCCTGCAGCAAGTCGGCTGCTATAGACAATATCGGTGTGAAGAATAAGCTGCCGTAATGGAATTAAATTATAACAAGTAGCCGGTCTCAAGGTGCTCATTATTACTCGCTCTGGGGAAAACGACGATAAACCCATGAAGAAGTAGTGGTTATAACTCGCGTTTAATTATTTAATCTTGAGGTTTTTCGTTCTTCGATTGGCTCAATGCACCAAGTGGAAGAAGCATGAAGAAACAAACCTGGCTCTAAAGTTTCCTAGGTGCGTGCTCTAGATCAGGAGAACCTGTTGCATGGGTTAAATCGAGCAAGGGATATTGATTTGAATATGTTCTAGGATCGATCAATTATTGCGATTATTTAAATGAAAATTTATCCTATCGCCTTTGGACAACATTGATAATTTGGACGCATTTGTCTCTAAAAATTTCTCAGTTTGTTTGATTTGTTTTCCAGTATTGGTCTTCGGCTGAGCGACAACTTGAAATACATTTTCGTCTTGATTGGTTGCCAACAAATTGAGGAAAACTAAGCTTACTTAAAGGAAATTATTTTATCGGTGAAGCAAGTGAAGACTTTGCCTGCAAATGACCACCCTGTATGATCGTTTGCTTGACTGAATTGTTCAGACTTTATGTCTTTATATACTGAAAGTTCAGACTTTATGCTAAAGTTAGTTGTCGTTTACTTGAATAGGTCTTCAATGTGATTTATATCAGGCCATCCAGCTTGTCAACGAGCAGTTTATGCTTCTTTGGATCCTTTATTTTGCTAATATAAAACATGAACATATTAAGGACATTTGCTTGTGCAGCCCACGCTCTTATGACGTAAAATTGATGCCACAACCCAGCAGACCAATGAGGTCTCTTTATCATTGTCTTCGATGACGTGATTCGGATGTTAGATGAATGAGGCCTCATTGGGACTAGATTATTTCGGTTCTGACGATGTTTTTCTCCATTTTTTTGCTAGTAGGCAATGAATATCTGAGGTGTGCTCCTAATTATTATATTGTTACTTCAAATAGGTCTTCCTCTCTCTAGTGTTTGTTTCGACTTAATTCTGATCATAAAGACATTCAGTCAGTGAATGAAGTAAATCGTGTTTGGTCACTCACGTTAAATATGTAGTTCGCATTTCACGTGGCCCAATAAATTGGAAGTGGCGTCGTCGTCGTGTAGAATGGCGCGACGCGACGGCCGTATTTGGCGAGACCGCTTCTTGCCGATGCATCAGACGCCCACGACGGCGGCGATTTTGGATGAAAAGAATCGTGAGAACCATTTTTATAATCATTTATCATGTGAGCTCGTGACTTTTCGTGTCTCTTGTTCGGAAAAACGAGACACTCTTTAGGGTTTTACTGATTATCTTTGCATACCAACTAGCGCACGGTCCCGCTCAAATTCCATCATCAATAACTACCATCCGATTATATTACACCAAATCGCATTTGCCTGTGTTTAGCTTCAAATTTCATATGTGATTATAAAGAGGGATTCGAAATTGGCCTGTTTTCTGTGCAGAGGACAAAGAAGGAACGTAGTTACATTTTTGTAAACATTTTCTTCTGTATGCAATTAATTGCACACATTACAACGCGTTTTTTTGTCATGCAATTGTTCAGATGCCACTCAACTGATTTCGGATTTGCCAACGTGGGAACCACATGGTAAACTGAAAATTGCAAACACCATCAATTAGAAGAGTGAAAAAAGTCAAAAGAAAAAGATGGTCACTTCGTAACTGAAAAAATCCTGGAAACTCCCAGGAACTTCCTATTGAAGTTAGTTTCTCCTCACTTAAAGCAGCGGATTTTCGCTTTGGGGATTTTTTGTTTTACTTTGGCGAAAAATCGGTGTTGACCAACGATCTTGCAAACTCCCCGAGTTTTCCTTTCCGAAGTGCGACTTTCCACACTTCAAGCAGCGCATTGTCTCTTTCGAGTGATATTATCAGCCGGATTGTGGGATTTTTGGCTTTTTCTTGTAAATTTTTATTAAATTCCTCACTTGAAGCAGCCGATTATCTCTTTCGAGTGATGTTATGCACCGAGTTCAGCAATTTTTGTTTTTTCCGTGCCGAATTTTTTAAAAATCCGTGTTGTTCAACAACCAATCGCTTCGACTGAGTATCTGAAAAAAATCGTGAAAACTCCCAGAAATTTCCTATTAAAATGAGGTTTTCCTCATTTGAAGCCACATATTTTCCCTTTCGAGTGATATTCTGGGAAGGCTTGAGAAATTTTTGGTTTTTTCTTGACAATTTTTTAAAAATCCATCTATCTATACCAACGGCCAATAGGTTGCCCTTTCGTCGTCTTTTGCACTCTTTAACACAGGGTAAATAATTATTGTCGATTTCAGATAAAACTGTCCGAATCTAGAACAAATTTTACGATTATTTTTACTTGGTCCCAAAAGGGCTTCTATCTTACAAACCCATGGAAAAGAACAAAATACATATAAATGCCCTTTTCGTTTTATCTCAGCGTGCGACAACAAAGTTGCCCAATGACTGGTGTGAAATATCGCCCCTTCGCCTGGCACCCGATTTCGGGTGACAATAAAAAATTAAAACATTAACGTTTAGCCAAGTTCTCAGATTTTTGGAAAACAAAAACGCCGCCTTATTGCCACCCATGCGATGGCAGGTAGAATGCATTGGCACAGAGGCGTCCAGCCAACATTTCAGTTTCTTAATGGATCACATTAAAATGTTCTCGGCTTCAAGCTGCATAAGAAAACGTGCTTGGGGGATCATAATATGCAATGCACCAACAAAAAATATTGCAAATGTAAACAGGTGAATATCACGGAAACGGTAGAAGATATCTGAACCATTTCGGTGGATCGTTTGGAAAACTACTTTTTGCTTATCAGGATAGAAAAAAAAGGGCATTTATACATACAAAGAAATAAACCCCAATTTTGATTGCTTAAGAAACTTCAAGTCTTCAATCTGAATAAGCACTACGAATGTGAGTATCTTTCAGTTATTAGGCTGTAACAGAATGTCTTAACCTAAGGAATAATGAAGCCTTGAGCTCTCAAACCTTAGACGTGGTAGTTCCAAAACGGGTGTCGAAAGCATCTTTACCCATAAGATTATAAGCAAATTGTCTAACGCTTAAAAATAGATAAAATAGATTAAGATCGAAGATTGAAAGACTACAATCTGATGAATTTTTGGACATTTTCACGTATATCTTGAATTGATGATCTAAATAATCATTAACAGTTGATCGATAGAACGTCTCGTTCCGTATCGCCACCTTTTCAAGTATGAAAATCTTTTACTTTGGAAATCGTTTTTCTCAGAGAAAATTTTCCGAATTTCTTAATTACCACTAAAAGAAATAATGTGAAAAACTGAAACTTCTAAACAAATTTCTCTAACAATTTCCCATCGTTCTTGATAAATCAAATGGCGGAAGTTTTTCAGCTTTTAATTCATATGCTCTCAGCGTGGTATTTTGTTGTCTCTGTTAAAACCATTGAAGATGCCACTATTTGTGGCGTTGACAAATATCCCAACACATTCTTAAAAAAATAACTTCGACTGCGCCAAATCTGGTAATTATTATAGAAAGCCCTCTACAAATGCTTTGCCGTGATTTTGAAGGGACGGCTTTCAGCCCGAGTTGGTCTCAGCGTGCGTATTCACTTTGAACCAAATTATTTAAAAAATCAACTCCTTTCTACATGATCCCTAGACGTTCTACAGCTAATTTAGATAAGAGCGAATGAACAATAGAAAGACGATCTGAAGTAAAGAAAAAAAAACGAAAATTCCCATCTAATTTAGCTAAGACCTTTTAAAATTCGACGTTCACCTCTATTATCACCAGTTCGGGTATATGGTTACCGCCATGGGAGACTCTTGTACAGAGTGGCCAGTTTGAGTGGGCCACATAAAAGATCGCCCATAAAAGAGACAGCTAATTAAAGGGAGGCATAATACTGAAATAATGCAAGGAAACAAGACCCGACGATTTATAGGCCCGCATCTCGGAAATTGATATTTAGAGGCGTTAAATTTCAAAATTATATAAATTGCATTGAGTGGCGGTTTGACCTGTAATAATTTGCAGACTTTCGCCATGTAAATTGGGAAAATCGTTCCGACATTTTTTTCGTTTTATAGCGAGTGTTCTGGCACCTACTTACCAGTCGCAGTGGCACCTTAAATGCCACTATCGTGGTTCCAAAAACGGGCTCTCCGATCGGTTTGTAATCCAACCATCTAGAAAAAAAACCGGTTTAACTTGAAAGGTTTCGCCATCTATAGCTGCAGGGGCAAACCCGAGAATTATTCCGTTCCTGCACCATTAACCGTTAGTTAGGCAACTTTAGCGAATGGAATTGGAGAAAAACACTGAATAGGTTACAAAATATTTATTTGCTCCAAAAAAAATAAAATGCAAAAGTTGTCCTTAGTGAAACGGCGACTAGATGATTTTGGAGTCAATTAAGTTTCTTGTAGTTAATCTGTTGGTCTTTTAAATCCCGCTCCTCAAAAAACGTTTAATGTAATGTAAATATTTTTTGGAAATCTACAATTGTAGATGGCGCAAGAATGCAATTCGCAGCTACATGGAACAAGGAACTAAACTTTCTCAGCTGGCAAAAACTCCATCTGACCCTATAGTGTTCTTAGAACATAAGAAATAGTTTTTTGGAATAGTCCATCTGTTTCTAGATTACATCACCTTACAATGTTGACACGTTTTAGTAAAATGGTCCACACCATCTCTTTTGTAAACATATGGACAGTTTAAAGAGTTTGCTCTATTGTAACGTTTTTCTGTTGAATTCGATGCTACGTACCTATCAGGAATTGACCTGCTGCGCCTACCCATAGTTAGTTTGGTTTTAATTAATCCACTACTTGATAAATCACGAAAAAAGCCTAAAGTTTCCAGCTCACGATTTGAGGTTATCTGTAGCGTAGCACTTACTGAATGAATATTTACCGGCTGCTCTGATAGAGGGGGCTAATTTAAGCATCAAATTTAAAATGAATTCATTCCTAAAATAATATAAAATTTAAATTTAAAAAAGAGGAAATAAATAGTCCTGACAAGTAAGCACAATATATTTTTCAAATATCAAACTTTTGTTTGCGGTATCTTCAATTAACGCTTCAAAGAAAACGTTGTTTTGTTTATGAAAGGAAAGTTTAAAATAAAAATATGAGTTATAAGTTTTTTCATTTTTAATTGGCTCTAAAAGGTCCGAATTTATCTATTTTGAGATACTTACGGATATAAATATTTTGTTCTATAAACGGTTACGTTCGTTACTTCTTTGGAGTATCGAAATTGCTGCTGATACAAAGACAGTTTCCGTTCAGCTCTATAGACTGATTATTCTGTAATTTTTAATTGGCAATTATTAAAATATGTCTATGTTATTGAGTGGAAAAATGCTGATGAAATATTTTTATTGATTTTTGCGTAACAAGCTCTTAAAGTGTGACTGTTGAAAGTTGAAAATCATTATAAAACATTTATTCAAGCAGGCTTAGAATTATGCGAATAGTTGGAATATGCAATAAAAGTACGGCATTCCATTTATAAAAAGGTAAGTTCGCCACTTAACTTTGAGACACCCTGTATCAATAAGTATTATCTCAAAAAAAACTAGACGTATAAACTAGAAATATTTAACATTTATCTCTAAATCTCAAATTAGATGCAAAAACGGGGTGGCCAAAGTACAATCAATATGGTTATTAACTCAAAAACAGTTGACAATCATTACCGAACATTTATATCGAGCAGGCTTAGAATTTTGCGAATAGTTCGAATATGCAATAAAAGTCCGGCCTTTCATTTAAAAAATGGAAAGTTTTTTCTGCCACTTGAATTTGAGACACCGTATATCAATAGGTATTATCTTAAAATAAACTAGACGTAAGTATCTGCAACTTTTGTATTTAACATTTTTCTCTAAACCTCAAATTAGATGTACAAACGGGGTGGCCAAAGTTCAATCAATATTGGTTATTAATTCCAAGTCAAAATTAATTCCTGGGTTTCAGTCATTTATTGTCTTTATTTATCAATTAAAATACGTTTCGGTGTATTTTTCCACCATTATCAGTTTTTCTAAAATAACATAGTTAAAAAAAATGTCATTAATTTAAAAAACAATCACAGTTCGTCAACAGATTGTTTTTTAAATTAATGAAATTTTTTTTAACTACGTTATTTTAGAAAAACTGATGATGGAAAAATACACCGAACGTATTTTAATTGATAAATAAAGACAATAAATGACTGAAACCCAGGAATTAATTTTGATTTAGAATTGAAACACAGTCAGGAAAGTATATACAATTGGTTATTAACTCAAAAACAGTTGAAAGTTAAATATTTTACGTTCTGACTTGTAAATCCTTAACGATGCCATAAAACCTTTACTTGAACTGTGAGAATGGCCTAAACTTCCCCAATTGAACTTCTATACCTACAACTCCTAATAATTGTTAATAATCATCCTGAAGTTTCAAGCGATTCCGAGAAATAAATGAAAGTGATGAATAATTAGATTCGGTTTTTTTGAAGTGACTTTTTCGCTGTTGCAGATGGGAAAAAAGCTCCCAAAACTCCCTATCCAAATAATTTGTATTACGCTTCAGAAATGTTCGGCTTTTTGTAGACATTCATGTTTTAAACTTTTGCGCTTACCTGTTATTGCTCCTGCAATTTTAGAGGTTGGGAATTTTTAATAAAACCTGATTACACAAGTCGGTATCCGAGCTGCTCTATCGGAAAGCTCCAATTGGTTGTTCTGCTAAATTTCCACCGTTTCTAAGACAAAAATGTCTTAAATCTTCAGCCATTTAAAAACAAAAAATTTTGGCAAATTTTACTTTTAAACGTAATTCGGTAAAATAATCAATTGTCACAACACTCTGATGAGGTAAAGGTTGCTGTCGAAAGGCACTGTTTAAATTATTTCTACAACTTATCAGATGGTTTTGACGATGGTCTTTCGAGATTCACGATGTTTTAAACACTTTGTATCTACGTTTTAAATTTTTGCTTATGATTTTTCCGAGTGATGAATTTTTGATAAAACCAACTTGGAAAAAAGTGTTCTCGAAGTTTTCCACCGCAAAATGCCAAACGATTTCTCCAATTTTTGCTTTGGAGGCATAAACCCATAAACTTCGAGAAGACAAACTGTTGAAATATGAGTTATTTTCACTTCGACAATTAATGAGAAATAGTTTCGGTCACGCTTTATCAAACAGGTGCCAATTCTTATTCAGATTGAAACTAGTGTTTTTCTGGTTTTTAGGCCGTCGTAAAATGGAATTTCTTACACTGTTCTGATTTGACTTAATTGCTGAAAGAAACCGCTCTCGAGTTCTAGTTTTACTTTCAATTATTTTATTGGATCAATAAATGTTCTCATTGTGATGCATGCATTTTCAGCCGTTTTTGTATTTTAATCGTTTGAAGAATTTCTGGAGCGCCTATATGGGAACACCGATTTAAAAACATCCAACTCGATTTGGTTTCAAGCGACGTTGACTTCGTGAAATCTGGCAATTTTTGCAGTAAAAACCCCCATAGAAGTTTTTCCGCTAATTTATTAATTTTACACATAATTTAATTCTACATAAATACACTCTAGTGAATTAATATCAAAAGTAGTTGCTTCCAAGTGAACATCACAGTCTACGACAATCTTAACGCATATGTTTTTATTAATTAGTACACTATTATTGCCCAGAAAGTTTGGGGCTCTGATTGTTTTTTCCAATATCAGAGGCCTGAATTTCCAGAAACTTTCAATACATTAAATACCCTGTGAATGATATAATACATATGAAAGTAGTCGCTATTGAGCTGCTTTTCACTAGGACAGATTCAGTTTACTACAGTCTATACAGGACTGGCGCTACCTAAACATTGCTCTGTATTTCTCGAAAAGTGTTTGCAAACTATACAGGGAGCCCAAAGTGCTGCCTTTGGTACCCAAACACATAGATTTCTGTTCGGCATCCAAATCTTTAGAATCGCACTTCACTTCGTGGAAAACGTGGATCAATCCTGGATCGACGCACCTAATTATTTTATAGACGTGTTTTTCGACGATATTGTCGAAGAACATCACGTCTTCCATGCCCCAACCAGTGATTTTAATGTCGAAACCCCCTAAAGCTTGGTAATCGATTTTGTACATCGAAGCTATACCAAAACCGAACTGTCTCCAAAAGCCTCTGTTGGCATCAGTCTGATTACTGGTGAAGTAGGAGAAGCTGGTGTTTGCGTAGGTTTGCAGCTCAATATCCAACAACTTCGGACTGTATAAACTATACAAAATAGGAAAATAGACGCTTCTTCCTATGAAAGTGTTCCTCCGAACTCGCCTCAAAAAGGACTGATCGAACACGATATCTACGTCGATAAAAAGCATCAAATCAGTTGGTGAAAGCACATTCACAGCTTTCTGCAAGGCACTGGCTCGGGAAAAAGTCTCTCCAACACCACTGTCGATCACATTGATTGTCTGCTGGTTTTTATTCGCGTTAATTCTATGATTAGTGCTGTTGATGAGTGATAGCGTAGCATTATAATCACTTGGACTCTCACTGCTTCTAAATAATATCACATGGAGCTTCGTGGCCTCCCAATTTTTTATACACACATCCTCATACATGGCTAGGAATCTCTTAAAGGTATCATGGCGACCGCTCAGGGGCAGCAGGAAATTTATCACAGTTTCACTCTGACTATCACGGTTGAATGGCAGTAGTCCAATTCTGTTGCTGATTTTATTTATCACTTTGTCCAGCATGTTTCCATCCTTAGACACAGTAGCGGAAGGATTCGGAATTTCTCGAATAAAAGTTCCTAAAAACATGATTTAAACGATGCGCTTTATGATGTTCGAAGTGGTTTACCTGTAAACGTTTGCTGCACATAGGCATGCCTCCGGACCTGCACAGTCATCTTGTGGCCTCGATATTTCCTGTACACGAGGAGAAGGTCCAGTATGAGATCGACTCCATGGACAGGGTTTAGCCTCCAGTAACCATACAAAATCTCACGGAAATCAATCACACGACCACGTTGCTTCGAATATGAGTTGATTAGTTCCATTAACTGGAAAACAAGTTTTTCTTTAGCTAGTCTGATATTTTTTCCTTCGCAAACTGTGCTATTAAGTTCTCTGTCCAGTTGTGGAGAAATGAGCGCGATAGCTCAATTTGTTCCTGAGATGTTAACAAAAAGGTGCCATCGTGCTCGATAATTAGATTTTCCAATTCGGCAGATAAGCATTAATACAACCAACAGAATACCAGCTAAACGAAAGAAGAATGCATATATCAAATATACGCGAGACCAAACACCTGAAAACTGGAACAATTATAGAACAACGAAACAAATGCAAAAATAAGGGAGCTAAAAGAAAACTGTAAGGAAAAGGAGAGGACACACAAGAGGACTAGAAAGAGACCTATGTGGAAGCCAGAGAAAAATATGGAGAATGCTGAGAAAAAATAAGCTAGAAATCAAAGATACTATACGAACCAATAAAATCACGAGAGAACAGTGGGAAACGCACTTTAGCAATATGCACCAGAAAGAGGAAGAGGAAGAAAAGGAACAGACAAAAATCGATCATGAAGAAAACGACATGGAATTCACAAATGACACGATTAAATACACCTTAAAATTCATTAAAAATAGAAAAAGCCTCGGACCAGACGTGATCAATAACGAGATGCTTAAATACGAAGGGAAAAAATGATCTATTGGACTCTATTTGAAATAGTATAGAAGACAAGGGCGGATCCAGGTGGGGGGGGTTATGGGGGTCATGACCCCCCCCCATTCAATTCTCTATCCAACGATGAAAAAACGAATGGTTCTTGAGAAACTGCGAAAAAAGCAGCGTCATGTTCAAGTGGATTTTGCAACTCAAAGAAAACTACGCAAATCTAAAACTTCTTGAATTCAAGCATTTTTTAAGAAAACTGCCAACATTTCCCCATCTATGGTTCACTTTCTGAAAGGCCATTTATTTCTCTCTAGAATGATGTACAAATGAGCTTTGTTGCTTATTTTTCCTCCGAGATATGAGCAAAAAGGGGACGAAAAACATGAAATTTTGGCATAATCATGCACCTAAGCGTCTGATATTCAAATTTCGCTTTCTGGGTCAAAACTACTCGAATTTCCTCACTCACGTTGTTACGACTGAATCGAGTTTTCAATTCTCTATTTAACGATGCCAAAACGAATTGTGTGGCTCAAATGGTTCTTGAGAAACTTTGAAAAAGGCAGCGTCATATTCAAGTGGATTTTRCAACTCAAAAAAAACCACGCAAATCTAAAACTTCTTGAATTCAAGCATTTTTTGAGAAAACTGCCAACATTTCGTTATCGATGGTTCACTTTCTAAAAAGGCCATTTATTTCTGTCTAGAATGATGTACAAATGAACGTTCTTGCTCATTTTGCCTTCGAGAAATGAGCAAAAACAGGACGGAAAACATGGAATTTTGGCATAATCTTGCACGTAAGTGTTTGATATTCAAATTTCGCTTTCTGGGTCAAAACTACTCAAATTTCCTCACTCACGTTGTTACGTCTGAATGGACTTTTCAATTCTCTATCCAACGATGCCAAAACGAATTCTGTGGCTCGAATGGTTCTTGAGAAACTTCGAATAAAGGCCATTTAGTTATCTCTGGAATAAACTCGCATACATGTTTTGGATCTTTCGATAGAGTGCGCTTAAAAGATGGTCTGGAAATAATGAGAACAAAAGGGCTAAACCACAGACTGCTTAATGTAATACACGACATAAACACCCAATGCAGAACAAAAATCAGAGTGGGACACATTGCAAGTCTATTGTTTGAAATTTCACTTTTTGCGTGAAAACTAGCCAATATACGATTTACATTTAAGTTCCACTTTTGATGATTCGCTGACGACCTAGAAAATGCCTTCCCATTATGTTGGAAACATTGGTATTACATTAAAAATATAATTATCTCCGTTTTCTCGTAGTTCAGGGGACACTAAGACTTAACGCTTTCTATTATTAAAGCGATGTAAAAAAATCTGTATAAAGTCCTTCCAGCATCGTTAGTTTACCTAAACTGATCATTTTAGTCTATTTTTATGCTTTATTGTAAATACTAGAGCCAGTAACAAAGTATCTGGATGCGAAACATAATTTAAGTATGCCAATGTAACGAATTGATTGGACTTTGCATATACAAAATTATCCTTGAAACTGTGTAGTAATTGCTACAGTTCCGGCTCTACCGACTGGAGCAACTTAAGAATAATACTTTCATTCAAAATATGCCAGATTCAAAGTAATACTAAAGTATTTATGAATTCGAATGAATAAAAGTCACTAATTAAATAAACATGCGATGTCGTAATTGTGGGTTTTGAATCACGTAATGATATGGAATAGTGTATGTAATAAAGATAACAACTAAAATGTAATAAAGATAACATACACAGACTGCAATAGAGTTTTTTTGCGATAGGTTGGGAAAGTCACTGCGAATATTACCTCTCTAGTAACGTCTCCCAATCCTTCTTTTAAGGATGACCCAATTCGCTTTCGGGGATTTAAATCCCGATGCGAGTAGAGCGTTTTTGAAATCAGCTCCCATTCTAAGACGTTCGTCAGATTTCTTGGCTGGTATCTGTTAATACTGGCTGGTATTCCAAGCAAAGCTGTATCTCCTAAATAACCATTGGTTCCCTTTTTTTCTGGAAACAACGGCATATCCTTTTCGAGCATGGCGTTTTCCAGGCTGCTCATATTATATCCCAATTCCTGCATTGATTTGGCGATATCTCGATGAAGCAAAATTGACTTCTGTAGGGCGTCTTGAATTTTCAATCCCTAAAATCAGTTAAAATTTTGTAAAATAAATAGTGAAATTTAAAAAACCTTTAACTCAAGTTTGAGAGCTATTTCCAAGAAAACTGTTAGTTGCTAGTAAGCATTTTAAGAGAAGCTACTTTTTCATGTATTTGCAATTATATAGTTTCCTAGTGCATGCAAACTAGTGATTTGGATCGTATGCCTATATTGAATGAAACGTTCAAAATGTCCATTTATTACCCAGCTGGTTTTGTTTGATTAATGGTAAATTAGTCAGCTTTTTACGTCATGATTCGTTCTGCATGGTCATCATTTGATATTATCGAAAAAGAAAAAGTAAAGCATATTTTAATGCACCGTTACTTTCATATGCAATAGCCATTTGTACCAAGGCGAATATTAATATAAAACGTGTGTTTTATATCCATAAACATTTTCAAAATTTTACGATTGTATGCAATCTCAATAATAAAATAGAATTATAAAACACTGAACCATTGGCAAGTTTATTTTGAATCAGAACAGAGTAATAAAATTACTCATAATACAATCAGTACCGGCTATTTATTAGGCGCTTGCACGGAAATATCGAACACTTGCTTCTTTTCAATAAATATAATAATTTATCCATCATACCACCCGCTAAAGCTAATAAATTTGGACTTATTTAGATCCATTTTCCCACTGTTCTTCATAATATTTCATTTAAATAAGAATACAATAAAAACAGTAGCAGTGAAAATTACGAAATGAATACTGTTTAAACAATTATTTATTGAAACATTAGCGGTCCTTGCACTGGATTAGCCAATTTAACTGTCGAGTGATTTCATTTTGGGTTGACATAATTGGCTTATTAAATGCAGTTGAATTTTAACTAAGTTTAGCTAATCTGGTTTAATGGACCACTGAAGGTTGAAATTAGGCAGCGTATTGACGGAGTAAATTGAATTCTTCAAGCTTAAAGACATGCACTAAGTTGTGCTCTAAATAGATTGATAGACGCTAAAATTACCTAGTAAAAAGTACATTATTTTTATTTGTGGCCTAAATGCTGAAGTAATGGATAGTTGGCTCTGTATAAGGATATTGGCAGTTAGGTCCCACTTATACTTAAGTATGCAGCTTCATTTTCTACTAAACGCTATGCATTTAAACAGCAAAAACGGAAAAACTTACTTGAATATACTTGTGAAGTCTGTACGTATATTCCGGATGTTTCAACGGGTGCAGTGTGATAGCTTTGTGGACTTCTTTGGTCTTCAAGTTTCCAGAATACGCAGCATTTCCGCTTTTGTTGTGATAGAACACCACTTGCATCTGAAATAAATGAGATTCTAACTACGAAATCAGTACATTCATTAAACATGGAATCGTTATTTAATTAATTGTGTAATTGTGTAGCTGGAATCGAAATAATTCTGATAAAGTGGAGGAATGAGGCGAAAGTTTAGTGGGAATAATTGTCACTTTTACATCTCTAAATATTTTCTCTGTTCCGATGGGCGATAACAAAGAGAAAAGAAAATCACAGTTGCATCCTTTTATTATATCCCTATATGATGATTCAGAAGAATTATTTAGAGCTCAGTGTGATCTGTAATGCGAATTAGCTGGGATTTTCACAGCAATTTATAAAAGTGAACCAGTTTTAATAAATTGAGACGACCAAAAATTCCCCAAAATAATGGGAGTTTTACGGTAATTAATGCATGCCAGTGTTCAGCCTAGTTTCTGAGCCACTCTAAAAAAATAAACAAGTTAGTTATACGGTATTAATGGCGGCCCGATAAAGCGTTGAACAAATAAATGAAGGCATGTTTGTTATGTTTGGTTCATTTAGTAATTTCATTATGGTTGAAACAATTTTAAACGGAATAGATTACTGGATCATTGTTGCAAGTGTAGCAAGTCTGTCGCTCTTTACAAAATATAAAAAACTGTGTTCGAATTTGGTAGAATCAACCATTGGCCATTGGAAATGTGTTTGCAGATTACCACATGCATTTTTTGTGATTCTGGGAAACATTTTATTCAAAATTCGTAATAAGTAAGTTTGTTTTATTTCATGATAATTCGTCGATGTTTACTCATTATTGATTAATGCGATGGATCAAATAAATGGCATCCCTAAATAAAATCATCGAATATTTTTGATAACAACACCTAATTAGTGCGTGCTCTTAAACAACGTGTTTTTGTATTCGTTTCTTAATACTTTCCCAAGCACTTCAGCGAGCAAATCGCGTGCGAAAAAGAACAATCTGTTTACCACTCCAAATAACTTCAAGGGATTAATATTAACTTACGATTTATCATGTTATCGTTCAGCTAATATTAGCATACATCTTTTGTCAATGGATAATTTCGCTCGTATGAATAAGTGAAGTATACAAGAAGAATACAAGCGTATTATTTCGGTTATCATTACATTTTAAAATAATTTGGCAGGAGCAAGTGAACATTTTGAAAAAAAGTAGAAAACTGCTGTTGCATAATTTTGTTGGTTTTTAAATAATTTCCAGACAAGTAAATTTTTCCATTAACTGACAAGAAATTTGCGTTTATTTTCTGCTTCTCCTATGGTGACTTGGAAAACATATTCCTCTCATAGTTTTCTTAAAATACATATCACTGTTTTAATTTGCAACAATATTAGTAAACATCATCTTTAGCCTCAGATGCGACATACCAACTCTGAATATTCTGTTGTAACTGATTTAACAGACACCTAAACATCCATAGAGTGTGTAGATGTCTTCTGCTTGCTTCAATCAATCATTCAAGCTCTTCACATTAACTACGGAAGAGGCCGATTTTTAACCAACCAGTTTTTATGTCTTTAAACACTGTTTATGACGCAGCTAAATGTATGGGAGAGGCCATTTGAGAAGTAGCACTTAAATGAAGACATTTCCTGTCAGCTATAATAATGATCTATGTGAAAAAGATTTCTGAGAAGAACATCTGGCCAAAAAGTCCAAATACCAACTATTACACAAACGCGATGCGTCTTCGTGTAAAGTTGTCCAAGGAAGGTAAAAAATTAAATAATGTATAGTTGAGCATTTGGGGAAATTAATTATAAACTAAGAATTGAGTCGTATAACCCGAATAGCAAAACGCTAAATAATTGATCATTTTAATTGCATTATTGCGTGAAAAACTCGACGACTTTTTATAAGAAAATGTAAATTTGTGAAGGTCTGCACATAATCAATTACTCCCAAGCGGTAGGAGCCATTGGGGGCCAATTTTCTCAGTTGCTTTAGTCTTGCAAAATTGACTTTAACAAGGCTTAAAAAATTATTAGCAATTTCAACTTATTATTAAATAATCGATCGTCTGAAGCGACACAGATGTTCCGCTTAGCGACCAGATAGAATTCAATTATAATGTATTTTCAGGCAGTTCTAATGCACATTTTTTTCCAATATTTAATGTCAAAATACCTAATAAATTGTATAGTAGAAAATGTCTTTGGCTTAATGAGGACATATTTATCGGGCACTTTAAACAATTTTTCAAACTCAATTAGGAGAGAAATCCAATCAAATACACTATATAAATAGAACTTTAATGATTTCTGGTGATTGAAAATTAAACTCATGAGTTCCTGCAATCGAATTGCATAAACATTCAAGTCGAATTGAAAAGGGTCATGGTTGAGAAACTATCCAGAAAAAAAACGACTTAAAAACGTAAGTAACGTGCGTCAAGGTGATCGGGTCGCTTTCGTACGACTTCAAAAAACATAATTAATAACAGTGAAGTCGTCTCTAATTATATTCCTACATCCCAAATTGTATGCTAATGTTAACATGGAAGAAATAAGTTTTGGGTTGGCGCCATGCGGAAATTACAGTTATTTTGCCACTATTTTGTGGATTGATGATTAATGGCAAGCAGACATTCTGAATAAATGAATTTTAAGACTATGGACAACAAATGTATCTGTAATATTCCACTGAATAATATATATAATCAATAACAGTGCCAAAAACAAGGGAGACAAACTATTTTCATGTACAAAAACTACTTCCTTTCTTTTTAGTATATTTTAAGGCGATTTATGCAAAAACGGTTAAGGCTTGATTTTTTAAATCAATTTCGGAAAGACAAAGTCTGGAAGGGAAACTGAATCTCAAAATTGCTAAAAGAACCCGATATGTTCTTGAAATAAAAGAGGCTCACATTTTGATATGTTGAAAATCGAATTTCAATATTTTTTCTTTCAATTCACTAAATTTCGAAGCCTGAATGAAGAAACGCGCTCTCTTAAACCTGCTCAAGAACAGCAATCTACCATCGAATTGCAGCCCATTTAATTTGCTTAAAATCATCTTCTAGTCCTCGATTTTCGAAATTTTCTGAATCATAAAGCCTGGATGATAAAGTTGACTCTCCTAAAATTAAACTTTAATTTATTTTTGAAGTAACGGAGTTTCTCAATGTGTTGATCTTTCAACGATTGTATGACAATGTTGTACATTTCTTAATTTAGTGAAAGATGATGTCGGAATCCGGATTTCACTCTCCTAAAGCTGCTAAAGAACAGCCAAGCAATATTAAATTTAATCTGCTTAAAGTCACTTGATAATGCTTGATTTTTAAACATTTCCGAATGTTCAAGTTCAGTTCCGCAGGATGGGTAATTAAAATCCTTTAACCGCACAACCCGCTGGTGTGAAATAAAAAAGGATTTGCATCTTCATATGCTTTAAATTGCACTTAGTTTTTTAGCAATATAAATGTAGATTTATCTTTCGATGTTATACTTCCAACGAAATGGAAAAGTGTTCGTTTGTTGACTCACATTAAAATTTTCAGGGTTTTCAAAACGACTTTCCTCTACACMCGCGGTTAAAAACACAATATTTTCGCTCGTTTGTCTGCAGAGAAAATAATCGGTTTTTGAGGTCAGACAAATCGGTTTAGTTTGTCCAGCTTCMATGAATAATTTTTCAAATTATTTTGTTTCGTGTGCCTACTAATTTAGTATGTACAGTCAAATGGCCCAAAAAGGGGGTTTACTCAGTCTAAAAATAATCCCCTTTGCATATTGTTTAGATTTAATTACCGTTTTAGTAGAGTGTAAAATTTGACACCCTGCATTTTAGATAGGAATGTTGTATTATAAACGAAGCTTTCATTCGTTTTTAAGTTGTTAGGTAGGTGGGTAATTAAAGTAAAGCAGTGAGCCGGATTCGGAGCCGTTTTTTGTTTCTAATATCAGCTTCCTGTGCTTACACAACAATGTCTTAATTTAACTTCCTAGCTGCAGTTAATGCAGGATTATTCAGTTATAATTGTTTGTTCTCAATCAGCACAAGAAGGATGAAAGTCCTGAAAGTAAATGTCGATTACCTTCATAGCGACACTGTACAATTAAAAAACGATTTGATATTAGAACTAGGAGTAATTAAAAAAAGAGTATGAAGCATTTTATAGTACCTAACTTTTAGCTAAAATTTGTTGTATTGGTAGAGTAAATAACGGAGCCTTTAGTGAATACACCTTGTACTTCCCAAGAAATGGCATTTTATGCGACTGTGGTGTAAAATTTGTACAAAAACACATCACACCATCACATACAGTTGATAATCTCATCAGTAACAATGAGATAATGAAATATGGTTTTCACATGTTTTCAAAAAAAATAAAATAAATTATCTGGTCATGTCACATCTCCGCTTATTCCAATACAGATAGAGATGGTTTTACTGGAAAAAACCTTGAGGCCTTCAATTCCAAATACCAAAAATATATCCTTAAATTAATTCCCGGAATCATTGAGTCACTATTTGAACTACTGATAAACACCATCAACCGTTATGGTGAGCATGATAGAAAAAATACAGTTTAATAATGGGCATTTTGAGACCATTGAAAATATGCATTGATGTTTAAGTACTTATTTATTCCAAGTTGCTAATGGAAAAACCATAAAACAAGTGTTTTTAGGCACTTGTTTAAGTGTTTTAACTTGGGTGGCATTTGACGACATATACGTTAATTCTCCGGCACTTAGTTTAATTTCAAAGCCAAAAAAAGCGGTAATTCCATGAAAGCCAAGTCAGAACCCCTGCTGGCAACTAAATCTAATTATGCGATCGTTAAATTCTAATAGATGCAGATTTTAAATCCATTTAATCCTCTTGTTTCTTCGATTCTCATGGAGATATCACGCCAAGTTAAACCGGGGGATTATTTAGCGGATTATTTCATCTGGGAAGTTTAGTATTCATTACGCAAAATTTCGATTTTAACAAAGATATATCAAGTTTTATTCTAGTGGATCAGTGTTTAGTAATTTTATATTGGTATGATACTCAAGTAATGATCGTGAACATTTATGTACAGTGTAAATCTATTGCGAGAACGTGAAGTAATTATTGCAATCACCTTAATGTCGTTTCCTATCAGAGATTATGGATATCTTATAAAGCCACGAGGACTAGAACTTAATATAATTGATAATTGGATTATAATAAGGTGCCCCGCCTAGATATCAATTTATTTCAACCAAAATGGAGCTTGACAAACTTCGAAAAAAGCAGCGTCATGTATGAGTCGATTTTGCAACACAAAAAAAACTCGCAAATCTAAAATTTCTTGAAATCAAGACTTTTTTGAGAAAACTGCCAATATTTCCGCGTCGATGGGTCACTTTCTAAAAAAAGCCATTTAGTTTTCTCTGCAATGGTGTAAAAATAAGCGGAAAACATTAAATGTTGTCCTAATCTTGCACCTAAGTGTATCATATTCAAATTTCGCTTTCTGGGTCAAAACTCTCCTCACTCATTTTGTTATAACTGGATGGAATTTTCAATTCTCCATCCAACGATCCCAATGTCATATCATGTTTTCTCTTAGGAAGTAGATCGAATTTTCATCCGGTCGATAAGAATCAATTTTCTATTGTTCGTGCTATTTATCCGAAACAACTACTTCTATAGTTACTTAAATCATTCAATTTCAGTCAATTTTCCCCCAATTAGCCGAATCATCAATCTCATTCTGTTGCCCAATATATATATAATATATAGACCCAATTTTTTGAAGGTTTCTCCTTCGAAATTAATTACGTTGTTATTAATTCCCAAAGATTTACTATCCTCATATTTCATTAGCAACGATTGTAAATAAATATTTCAATTAGTTTACGCGTTATCTTAGAAAGCACAATTTATTTATTTGCTCAGTACTGCATTAACACATACGAAGATCCATTAAAATGAAACTTTATAGTGCATTCCATGCAAAAGCAAATTATTTTTACAATAAGTTTTATTACTTCAGGTCTCGTGTAGTCGAAACGGTCGCTGTTTCAACATCAAAAGCATTTTTCGTTTGTAAATCAGTATGTGTAAACGATTGTGGGTTTTACAGTTTTCCAAATCGATCTGGTTATAAAGAAAATATATACAATATACAAGGTGGACAAACAAAACAGTTAGATTAAAACCCAAAAAAATGTGCCGATTTTGCCCGAAGTTTAATTTTTACTTAGTCTTTAAAGTTTCAGATAAAGGGTTGGATATTTTTAATTTTTGTACTAAAATTCAATTTTTATTTTTAAACATGTTTTTGATTGTGTTTAAGCGCCCCTGTTACCAATATTTTTATTCTGTATGAACTTTACAAAACTTTATGAAAAATTGGACCCATTTTATGAGGGTTTAATGCGGTTACAATTTTTGATCAACGATATTTTCGTTACTATAAATACTAACACGCTATATGCATATTGGGTAGTTCTTACGTCGAAAGTAATCAATTGAGATAAAAAAACACACATGTGAAATTTTAATTTTCGACCGAAAAAATAGGAATTATTTCAGAATGTCTCAAATTCTACATCATTTTCATCGCAAGGGAGCGAATAAACCAACGAACTCATTGAAAAATAGGTTAAATTCTACAGATCGGAAATAATCGAAAATTTACACCCATTTTAAGAGGGTTTCAAGCGGTAAAGAACTTTAACCTTAGTTATATTCCTCATTATAGACGCAAACCCTCTACATATATTATTGATGAGCTTCTTAAGCCGAAAGGTGTGCATTGAACTAAAAAACACGCATTTGAATTTTGGAGTTTACTTGTTTATTTTTCCATTTCTTTATTGTCTTTAACCGCCCCTGTTGCTCAGATTTTGGTTCTGTACACATTTTATATCTGTTTATTACAAGGATTCTCATAGGAATTTTGTTGTCGGTTTTGTGGCGTAAATAATCCGTTGCTGATTAGGCACATTTCAACTGTTTATTTAATTTTCTTTTAAATTATCAACTTTCCAATGCATTTTTGATCATGAATAAATAAAACTAAATTCAATCAAATGCAAATTAAACTCCCTTAAAGCGAGTTGTATAAAATAGTAACAATTCTTTGCATAAAAAGACCAAACGAGGTCGTTAATTATACGAACTGACTCTCATGCCTAGTGCAGAATGGCGAATAATGCTGAATGGTCTTTTAAAGTTTACTTAATTAACGCTTATTTTCAGTTAGTAATTTGTCATCAGAATTCGAAAGGTACAATTACGTGGAAATTGTAAACAGTTATTGCGAATTTGACGATCATTGAATCGAAATTACGTGAATTATTACATCAGGAACATGCGATCGACTGTACATTGAAGCACAATTACTGGCTTCTGTTAAAACCTGGGTCTCATTTCAATGCAAAATTCCACGTTTGGTGCGTAAGTAATTTTAAAACGTTTTCACCTGAAAAGGGATTCACGCTAAGCGAAGGATTAGTACATCATTATCTTTTGTCGGAATTGTTCAGTAATTAAAGTGTTATCGGCTTTATATCGGGCAATATATGAAATATGAGTTCTGAGCAAGTAGATGTAATTGTGCGGTAACGTAAGGTAATTGTGTGAGCATTTCTTACATTGCTGCTTACAGCCCGAATAGCTAGAGGAAACCTTAAACAAAAGAGGGAAGCATCAACAGCCCGATCGTAATCTTATTATTGTGTCAACATGCAATATTGAATGGTAATCAGCTTGGAAGTCAATAAACTGAAACTAATGAAAAATGGCTAGAAAAAGCGAATATAGCATGCGACACTTATGTATTTATACTTCGCTTTATCGGAATTAGAACAGTTAGAACCGCATTTGCATATAAGAGATAAACTAGTAGTGAACTTTGTCTATGTTCATTAGATTGCAGCTTTGCTGCAACTTTCAACCATCAAACTGTGTGGAATTGTTGTTGCCTGTTCTCCTACCTCATAATTCCACGTGCAAGAAACTCCAGCAAACTTTTTAACGCATCGACCAATTTCCACATCCTCGTGAGTCGTGTAGAGGTTCACTAGACAATCCTCAATAAACGGCGCGATTCTCTTTAGAGTCTCCCTGCTCATTATCATCCCTGGTCCTCCCATGCAGAAGTTTTCATCTGTGTCTGAAAATTAAAAATTCAGCCGGAGTTCAGAGCCGAACGGTAACTCCTCAGATATACTCGCTCACCCAACGAAAGATGTCCTCGCTCCTCTTTAGTTCCGCGTCCAGTCTGTCCGATAAACAGCGGCTTCCGCGAATCAATGGCCCTCAACAGTTCCTCCAGCTTGTCGTTTCGGACATAGAGATCATCATCTGCTCGCATAAACCACTCGAACTGATCGATGAAGTTGTCGTGCATGTACTTGAGCATGGTGAACGACTTTTTTTGAGGAGGATAACTGTCGTCGATGCCCGACAGGGCAACGAGAGGAATTTCCGCACTAGTCGAATTTTCTGAGGAGAAAATCAACATTCTGCCCGGTACTTCTTGGCCCCAGGTGTTCCATACTACTTTCGCACGAGTGCTTAAATATTGCTCAGCTGTCATTACACCTGCAACAAATGCACGTTTTTAGTAAGATGTTTAGACGACTAGAAGAACATTTTGTTTTTATTCGCCAGATGTTTTTGTGTTTTTTAATTTTCCCAGTTGAGTTTGTAAATTTTTATTTTTCTGTATGTACAGCAATAAATGCAAGATAGCTGGTACGTTCTTAGCGATTTTGTTTTGATGTAGCGATCGTTTTGTGCGGGTCCAACTTAAGAAGAGCGTAAATCCTCGCATTTTTGCGATTAAAGTTATGTATAATTTGAGGAATTTAGAGAAAAGTTGATTTTTAACTGAAAAAATTGAAAGGTGTTACCATTTTTTCAAAAAAGCTCAAAACTGCCTCCGTTTTTCCATACCATTTCAATCGAAAAGAAGTTAAAAACGGCAAGGAACTTATTAAGAAACACTAATTAATTAATTAATTAAAAGCACACTAAGAAATACCTAATCGAAAATTTTCAGCAAATTTAGAGGGGTTTGAGCGGTTTCATTTTTTAACCTTCGATATCTCCCATAGACCCAAACGCTCTATATACGGATATTTAGGAGCTTCTTAGGACGAACACTCTGCATTGAGCTCTGAGCTCAAAAAACACGCATGTGAGATTTTACTTTACACGGAAAGTTTCATAAAGGGTTGAGGTGGACTTTTAAAAAAATATTATTCCTCTCAAATTGTCTTAAATTCTACATCATTTTCATCTCAATGAAGCAAAGAATGCAGCGAGTTCATTGAAAAAGACGTTAGATCCTACAGATCCGAAATAATGGAAAATGTTTACATACCTATTTTATCCGGGTTTTAAGCTGTTTACCTATTTTAAGGAATCTTTAACCGACTATATTTTCCTCATATACGCCGTAGGTATATACTTATGCATATTGGCTAGTTTTGTTATGTCGAAATCAAATTGAGTGCAAAAAACACGTTTGTAAAATTTTGAATTTTGACCGAAAGTTTCTTAAGGGGTTGCTGTGGATTTTTGTAAAAAAAAAGTATTTTTTCAAAACGCCTTAAATTCTAAATGCCTTTCTTTTTTTTTTTAATTCAAAATTTTCATCTCAATGCAGCGAAGAATTTACTGTCTGCGGCACGATCCTCTATATTACCATATTGAGGAGCTTCTTGGACTGAAAGCTATGCAATGAGCGCAAAAGACACGAATGTAAAATTTTGAGTTTTGACTGAAAATTTTGAAAAGGTCGAGCTCTAAAAAAATTATAAATTTTCTCAAAATGCCCGAAATTGTTCATAATTTTCGTCTCAAAGAAGTGAATAAGGCAACGAGCTCATTGAAAAACACGTTAGATCCTACAGATTGGAAATAATCGATTATCGAAAATTTAGACCCATTTTAACCCTCGATAATTTTTTTATAAGAGACTCTATCCCTTTTTTTATGCATATTGAAGAGCTTCTTAGGCCGAAAATAATGCATTGACTCAACAAATATACATGTGAAATTTTGAGTTTTGATCCAAAATTTCATAAAAACGTTGACTTTTTGAAAAAATATAATTGTTCTCAAAATGTCTCGAATTCCACATGACAGCTAATTTTATAGGTTTTGATCGGTTACAATCTTAACTATAGAGAAGCTGCTTAGTCCGAAAGCTCTCTGAAAAAACGCGCACGCCAAAAATTGATTTTTGGCCAAAAAATAGCAAATAAATTAAAATCTAATCTCTCAAAACGTCGCAAATTTTTACTATTTTTCAAGCAAAGAGCGCATTTGAACACCCACTAAATCTTTCAGATGCGAAAAACTCGAAAATTTTGGGTCTTCTCGAGTAGTAGTTTTTGAACGATTTTCATCTTTCACATACAATGTCAGGTCAGGGATCTGGCATGTGCATAATGAGGAGATTCTTAGGTCAGAAACTACCCATTGAGCTCACAAACCACAGAACTGAAAATTCAATTTTGCTTGAAAATTTCACCAGCTCCAAAAACCCACATATGAAACCTTCACAAGGTATAGAATTTCGAAAATTTTCGAAAAAAGGAAATTCAAGAAATATATTTAAAAAAATATAAGAAATATTGAAAATAATTTTGCAAAAACCACTTAAAACCATTTCTTACCAACGAGTAGTAAATTCTTGCTCCTCGGTGTAGATTTGCCAGCCAAGGAATCTTTGTTATCGACTTCTTCACTTTTTTCAACAGTATGAGATGGGCAAAATTTCGAAGTACTAGTAAATAACTGCGAAAATATCACCCCCATAATGATACCCAAGATTACCTTCAACACTTTCTTGGGTCTAGCCATTTTCGTATCGACACTGGCGCATTATTGCCCCAACACTACCGGCACGCAAAAATTACTTTTCTTACTTCCGATATAGTTTCACTCACTACATGATCATCATAATGCGTTCCAGGACAGTACTGGTGACGGAGCCATCGTACATAACTTAAGACCATGTCAAAGTTCAAGTACGCTCCATTGAAATTAAAAATAGTTTGATAGCAATTTTTTTAATTTTACGCCAAATTCGTTCAAAAAACTCGTGTATTGAACATTATTCGGTTGAACTTTTTCGAATGTTCTTCGTTTGGGTGGTTTGGTTGGTGGTCAGGGGTGCGTTTGAGAACCAACGAAAAATTTGACTGCACTGCACTATAGTTTGGTTCACTTCTAATGAAACTAAAACTCCACATTCGGTACTGCAACAATAATAGAACACTTCACCCTTATCGAAAGCAAATGGAGTGGAAAAAGGAGATCGAGACGGCCGGCTTTCCACACTGAAAACACGCCGATTGACTCGACCGAGTACCACGACGAGCGAGCGGTACGACCTACGTTAAGTCGGTCAACAGTCTGACAAACTTGAACCGAACGCGGGTGAAACTTGGTCGACGATTGTGCCTGAGATAGGATCGCATCAGCTCGATTAGCATGTGGTTTTCATCGGTACTATGCCGATTTTCAGGCCGGAGTACCATCGAAAATACTGGATCAATTCATTTGTCTTCTTCCCCCTATTTCCGCCTAGTTTTTCGAGCTATTTCATTTCATCAACTATAAACCAACTTGGGATTCTTCAGCTTCCAGCTGGGTTTCCTTGGTTTTTATGCCCTGTTACATGTGGACTTTTGAAAAAGATGTTTTCCCTATTTCTTAAATTTCTTATTTCTATTTCTTTATATGTATTGGAATCTCACAGTTTAAATATTTTCCTGAATTTATTAATATTTCTGCCTCCTTTCGCTTTCTGCATAATTTTTTGAGTCACTTCATTTCTTCAAACTGTGGTGCTTCGAGATACTTATTTTTGTCAACCTTAAAACAACTTCAGATTCTTCAGCGTCCATCTGTGTTTTCTGTTCTTTTCTGTTGGATTTGGATTTTTGGAAGATATTTTCTCTATTCGTTGAAGAGTCCTCAATATCCGGTTGAAGAAAATAGTGCCAATTTTTAAACACCCTTTATATGTAATGGGATGTCAGAGTTTAAGGATATCGAATTTTCTGAATTTATTAATATTTCTGCCTCCTTTACTTTTTCGAGTCATTTCACTTCTTGATACAATTTCATATTCTTCAGCTTTCACTTGTGGTTTCTATCATTTTATTCCCTCTTGTATTTCGCATTTAAGCTCTTTTTTGTCCTAGTTCCACATTCGTAGTGTGTTGATTAAAAGTTAATGCCGTTTTCATTTTTGTTTATTTCATATTTTGAATGGTTTTGTTGAGCTTGATTTTATGTGGATTATTTTGGGTTAATATTTGCTGACTTAAATTATTTTCAGTTTGTTTTTTAGATTTGTTTCCATTAGCTTAGCTTGAGTTTTGGATCAATAATCTCAAAATGTCTCCAAACATTAATGTGTGAAGTTTTTCTGAAATTAAAAATAATTGCATTTTTAAGTAAATAAATAAAATGATAATTTTTCAAATAGTATTTTTCACAAAGCTTTTAGCAAAGGAACAACGCCAATATTTACAAACCCTTTTATTTATCGAAAATTCTAAAAATCGGCTTTGATTCAAAACGCTACTCAAAGTAGTGATTATACCGAGTGTTATTTCGCTAGCCGAAACTCACAAATTTGCATGCTATTTAATAGAAAAATCATCCAAGAAAATAAGCCAAAAATTGTGTTATTTCTAATACACCGAGTGCTTTTCATTTCGATTTTTTACAAAATATTTCATGTCTGTCAATTTTCAAGTTTCTGTTGAGAAAATCGTGAGATTGTTGTTAAATGTCTGACTGTTTGATAAATGGACACGCAAAAATGGATTCATTGTTTATCTTGTAAACGAAGCAAAATAAGACAAAAATTCGAGAGTTTGAGTGAGAAATTTGCATTATTAGTTGCTTATTTGAAAAAAGTAGTAAGCTGCTAAACTTAAGAAGTTTATTACAGCCTGTGCTAAATAAGCCCCTTATTGGGGGCGGAGCCTATCAACGGTAAAAAATTACGAGAAAAATGGTCAAAAGATATTTGAATTATTGAGGGCCAATTGTTTCCAGTTTCTTCATCTTCATTAAGTTTTATTTGGCAATTAATTCGAATTTTTTCGAAGAATGTAATACATTCAAGTGGGGATCCGATGACTGGCAGTTTAATTGTTCACCATGAAGAGAACATTAAAAATTCACCCATATAGTCAAAGATCAAAAATCCTCACTATTCATACTTGAATAAAGATAATCAACGGCCTGTTGTTGGTAGAGAATGGGCGCAACTTTCCTCAAGTACAATTTTTTGGCTAGAACCCACTTAAAAATTTAGACCGGCTTGCCGGCATCCACTGACCGCTTCTTATAATGAAAGCCATTGTCTCGACGATACAATTTAGATCTGAAACTGCTGTTTTGCAACATTGCGTCTACCTCGAAGGGTTCCTGGCCAGTTAGTTCCCTACCCACTAACTATAGCAGATTTGCATCTACAAATTGCCTTTGATTGCAATAAAACCGCAAATTATGTTCGTTACAAATGAAAAGACGATGCCTGAAGCATGTTCCGACAAAAAAGCATATAAATAAAACAATAAATACGGGCAAATTAAAATTATTTTTAATTAACATCAGAAGCGAATGGTTGGCGGCGAGTGGTAATTTATTTTGGGGGCCTAACACAAAGCTTACAAAATATAATATATTATATTCTGTAAACTTTGCCTAAATCCTGTTGCGTGAGAAATCGTTTGTAATCGTGTGTGTGTGGTAAAATGGACAGGTAGATTTTCAATAAAAGGATGTCTACATTCCAGTTGCTTAAAATAACATCGACAAGTTTGAAGTACATGGTTTTCGACCAACGAAACAAAATTATTCACATTCTAAGGGATAATTTTTTATATGTATATATACGCGGTGGTTTGCATTGTTTTAGTCCCATTTAATTCGAAAAATCGAATTATTCAGTAAATTATCTTGTTTTCGGCCTCTTCCTATCTTAACTGGTACGTCTGATCCTAACTAACAAACGTGAAGCATTTTTAGTTCTGTAAAAGATGCTCAAATTTTGAGCCGAAAATTTAGAAGCGAAAGATAAATGAATTTGCTTTATAATTAATATTCGAAAAATTATCCGTGCAAAATGCAGGGTTAGCGTTTGAAAAAATATCACCTTTTCGTATCAAAAAGATTATTTAACTCCCATAATATTTGGATGGAATCCATGTAAATGAAAAATGTTCCATTAAATTTGTTGTTGTTCGTTCCAATTATTGCAGTTTTCTTATTTAAAGTATTTCTTTTACAATGATGAAAATCATATTTTTCTTTGCAAAACATGCTCTCTGATGGCAGTTATCGGCTGCAAAAACTCAAATACCTATTTCCAGCCGTTGAACAATAATTAATAAACTTGGTCCACCCGGTATTTCCTTAACAATTTATTTGGCGTTTTTCGATTTTTCATTGTTGTTAAAGTTTCAGCTCTGAAAATTGAAGCATTCTGTAGAATAGGATTTCAAAATTTAGCTGCAAAATTTGGTTTCTCAACTACACATTTCTATCGTTTTACGATAGAAAATGCACTTTTCATTTCAGATTTCGCGTGCATACATATTCGGTTGCCGAAACGCCCCAAATGTTTTTTAATTTTTTTGCTTTTAATAGTTTAATGGTTTAATTAGTTTTCTCTAGTGCGTTTGTCTATGAGCATGGAATTCATGCAATCTATTGAATTATCTTCGAATCGAGAATAAAAGTTTAGAAACATAAAAAATTGATTTATTTGGTAATTTAATCACATCAGACTTATTTATTTCAGTTTGTTTCAATACTTGATAAAAGAACGAGGCATTTTGTTGTTTAATTTTTCAAAACAGTTTTTTTAAACAAAATGGGTTATGCGTATCTAAGAGAAAAATACATGCATTCTTACATTTACCGACAATTTTAAAATGTTCATGTTCTTTAACAAACTAGTAGGAATTTAAGTTAAGTCAATCTCACATTTGTTTGAAATTCAAACAAATGTTTCCCAATTATGGGTTTGTGTTGAATTTTAAATCTGATGATGGCGCCGTTGTCTCGCCGAAACGTAATATGAAATAAACGATATGAACATTTTTATTTCACATTTTGACTGAAACCCAGGAAGGGAAAATATAATAACAATTAACTACACGCAGACAGGAAAATAAATCAAAGTTAAATATACTTATAGTTTTACGCGTGTGAATTTACAATATTGATAAGCTCTTTATACTAACAAATTTTCTCAGTGGTGTTTCTTAGGGAATTACGGTTTTCGACCACTTTTTTTCCATTGAAGAGTGTAATTTTTTTATAAGAACACAGATCGTTGTTCCCGCTTTTAACACCTTTGGCCGAGTTGCTTAACATAATTAAAAAAAAACAGCTATTAACAAATACTAACCGAAACCAAACAATTACCCACAAAAGGGTCTAAGAAAAAATCAACTTCAAAATGCTATTAAAAATTCAAGTTAGGAAAATCCTTTATTATCTGATGGAAAAGTAGTGAATTAAATTTGGGGAAAAGGGGCTGAAAACAGCAGAAAAGGAAAGTTTGTTATAATTTGATATTGTTAAAGAATCATCTAGAAGTTGAGCGTATTGTTAACTTCAAAAGCGAAATTAGGAAATTACCGTCTTCGAGATCGGGTTGAATTTGAAAAAACCATTTTGTTGGGCAGTTAATTGTACTTTCAGCTTTCAGTAGTCAAATGTTGGCCTTTTCTAATGCACTGTTACGAGAATAGTCTTTTTCATAATTTTTATAAACTGTTTAACTTTGTTAGGCAAAGCTACGGTTGTATTGCAAATAAAACTAATTATTCTCCTTCGTTATGGTAAATAAATAAACTTCTTCCCATTCACTGTGCTAATGACACGTTTTTAATTTATTCTGGCCTGTACTTGATTTGCTCATTCTAAAACAATAAATGTTGAGTTGCTCATTAAAAACATTCAAAAGATTAGTTAATAACTAACAAGTCTGCTGCTGTTCGCTGAACGAATAAAATAAAAAAATAAAATTAACAGTGTGCGCAAAAGTAAATAGTCTTTTATTGTAAAAATAAATTATCGAATTTAGATTTTTAAACATTTACTTAAAGTGATTGTGAGCTAGTTCAAATTTAGATTCATGGACGCCTTTCAAAACCTTGTCTTCGCCATCCCATACGATGAATTTTTAGTCTCTATATAAATCGCTCAAAGAAAATTTGGATTATTTTTTCCGAAAAAAACCAGTTTGAAATGCCACGCCTCTACACTTCCTTCGTTATTTTATACGTCGATAAACCTCTGTTAAAAAAATAAACGTCGCGACGCCGACGCCGCTGCTAAAATAGACGACGTCGACGCAGCCCCCGTTTCATTCGCGTTCCAGAATTTAGATTATCCAGTCTCATATTGATTCCCCTTAGTTTCTTTCTAAATGTCTGTTAAAATCTGGATTATCTAGTAATTTACTTGTGGCTGGTGAGAAAAAATGGCAACCAGTTCTTTTGCGCTAACCTGGGCTCTTTCCCTGCTAACTGTCTGGTTAGTAGGCCAGGCCGAGACCAAGGTATATAATGTACTGGAAACCGAAGTGTTCGTCATTGAACTGGACGCTTCCTTGTTCAATTGGACCTACGATGATCGGCCAGAGCAAGTTGAACTGATGCCAGCACTTGCCAATTATGCAGACTTACCTTCTTGGATCTACTATGTAGATAGCAGGATGCATCAATCGAAATTCTTATATGGCGTTCCACCCACTTTACCACAACCTGAACCGGTGGTACATTTAATTATCGTTTCGTTGAACAGGCACAAGGGTTACACAGTCAGGTAATATCAGCTTTTAAGACTTGAGGAATGTTTCCCCGAAGAAAAAATTGCAAACATTTTCCAGTGTTAAACCGATTGACATCGAAATCCAAGAAAAGCTCAATCCGGCACTCTACGAAGTGAACATGAAAATCGACAATTTGAACGTGACCGATATGTTTATTGGTGATCACATGAACGCGCTAAAAGAGATTTTCACTCGGGTTTTATGGAAAAACACCGATTATGAGATATATGTCACGTTTTTGAAAAGTGCCCTCGAATTGGGGGCGAGAAAACCGCTAAGACCGCAAGAAGGCGAAGGGTAAGAAGTGCCTGTTTTGCCATCGGCAATTCACACAGCGTACCTTCCAGGGTGGTGATCAGACTGGGCAGTAGATCAATGTTCTCCACTGAATTGCTAGAATTGCAAAAGGAGGTTCAGCCTTTAAATAAGATGCAACCCTGTCCGAGAAACTTCAAAAGAACTTCAGTGGAAAGATTTTTTAGAGATGCGGGATTTATTTTAGACTGGTGTGCATTTCACCTGGTTAGTAGCTGGTATAGATTTCTTTATTATTAATAGTTTCAACTAAAGCAAAATTACTGCTCTTGAATATATAACAGGCAGTGCTAAATGCGCTACGAACTTTAACCACTTGCCTGAAGTTGAACAGTTAATTTTAAAGAGAATTTTAAAAGCATCTGAAAGTAAAAAAATCTAATGTCTTCACTTATCTTTTAAGAGTGTTTATCTAATTCATAGATAGAAAGAAAAGTAAACAAATCAGCGCAGCAAAAGTCGGACATTGACTATGAAAATCTTGAGGAGTTCGGAGATAGTGCGTCCATATCGTTTTATCGGCAAAACGTTCCCGAGAGGCCTTACAGGAAAGAACTGATAATAGCGATTGGTATCCCGATGATGATCATGACTGTGCTAGTGGTGGTTTTATCATTCATTATCTGCTATAAAAACGACATGTAAGTATAGCGAGCCAGTAGGTTGTAATCGTTGTAAATCCTCAAATTTTATAGGGCCGATGAACAAAGCGAATTTTTCTTTGAAAACATTTTCCATATTTGTGTCGATTGGTATAATGAAAGGTAATCTCGATTGTGTGAAGACTTTTTCTCTCGAGTTTTTTAAAGGTTTTGGGCTTTTTCTGGAGTGGTTAGGTCTGATTACTAACAGCAAACGCTGAAGTTGAAAGTTTGCCGCGCTGTATTTTAAAAACTGAAGAGTTTTAATCGATTTATAAAAATTTGTTGAGTATTTGGGCTTGTTGGATTTTTTTGCTTGTAGAAGTGCTTAGTCATACACAGACTGCATGTCGATACATGTAATTTTTGAGAAACTTGCTTGATAAAAAGGTTTCAGAAGCTTAGGGTTTGCGAAATATTTTGCATATTTTATGTGATTCTAGTCTGGACTTGCTATAAAGTATAACTCAGTTCTATAAGTATACGTATAAAGTATAACTAAGCAACTTATTATTATCACTTCCAGTTGTTTTTTTTTAAATATCGATGCTTAAAAGTATAATAATGGAGATTAACGCCCAGCTAGAAAGCTTTATCGTGTGAGCTTTACTTTGGTTTTTCACAGATATTGAAGAGAAAACGTTGCCACTCAAAGCTCCTATTTTCTTGAACATTTCCCTCGTATGATAATCTGTCCGTTTGAAGTGTGCAATTATCGAAAAATTACAGCGGTAATTGCACAGTGTGCAATTATCACTCAACGATAATTGCATTGTTTACGAAAAATATTTGACAGGTGTCTTTTCATGATGAATTAGACATCAAATGTCTTCCTGACATACCTAAAATATTAAGATAAGATATAAAACACATAAGTAATAAAATTAAAAGTGTAATAAAATATAATAGAAATAAAATGAATTCACATTAACTTTGTTTACTCAGGAAATATTCATAAAAATTACACTCGTGCATCAAAATAAACAGATAATTTTGCATTCGAGCTTGTTGTCTTGTAAAAACTGCAT